CAGCAGAGTCTTCTCATCCTCAAGTGCTTTGGAAATGGGCTCCCTGATGATACACAGGAATGAAGACTGACATTTAAATCCTGTGAGATCAGAGACTGCAACTATTACAATTTTTCCATGCTGTTTCAAACTCGCAAATTGCATTTAAGTAAAAAAAAACATAAATTGAGGGTTTTAGCTTTCTCTGACTATCAATTTCCTTCAGGATCAATAAAGTCATATCTACCTATTTCTAATGACAACAAGTCAAGGAAGATGTTTTACATCTTTTACCTTCACAAACTGGACAGAACAAATACTTAAAAATGCCTCTCCTACCAAAGAAGGATTAAAAGGAGGTTTCACTTATGCAGTCTGTGTCATAAAAGCCCTTTCAAATGCATACAAGCTCAATACGATAAAAATAAAAAGCCTTCTATCAAGGTGATACCACACCAAACCAAATAAAATGTGCTCTGTACATTCAGAACGTTCGACAAGACTACTGGAACAGGGTTGTCGACTATCCTTACCATCCAGGAAATCCATAACACTGTCCATAAACCAAATTAGAAATGAAATGAAGAAAAAGACAAATGAAGAAAATGGAAAACAGAACCATTAGGCCTAAGAACATTGTAAGATTTAGCATGATTTTTCTCTGATATGCAGGAGCATTCATGTGTGACACACTGTTAAACTGGGCAGCAGTACTCTTGCCTTTTGCCCTGGCTTGGCTGTGGTGCACTAACAGACCTGAGACCCAGAGCGGCCTGCTCCGGCCTGAGAGGCGTCCCCGTAACCCGCTGGCAGCTCTGCGGCACTAAGTCCTCCAAGTCTGCAGGGAGTACCACAGCTGTCCTCGTGGGGGGAGCGACCCGCAGGGGGGGTTCTGGATAGTGGCCCACCCAAGATTCTGCTTCCTTTGCATCTGGGGTCTCCTGGACCCCCTCATCTCCCTCCCCCACCCTGCTCCGCTTGGTGCTGGGCTCTGAGACAGACTGTACCCCTGGGCAGACAGAGAAAAAGAGGAAGTAAAAAAGCTGCACACAATTTTGAAACCTCATGGATATAAGCAAAGAGAAGCAGCTGTGCTTTTTTCCTTATTTTACACTGTCATAGACATACACACAGTTCCACAACAATACAGTTTTTATTTGGTACAGTTTATTTGGTGAGTTGCAGCAATGGAGACTTGCGTTTCCCTTTATACACAAACATATAGAAATATTTTCTTGTAAAACCTGAAATAGATCAAACTGTTACACGTCCAGAGAGGTGAATGCAGGCGGACCTATACAGTACAGGCAACACGTCCCTTACCAATATGTTTGAGACAGCCCCAGTACTGCTGGTGTGCAGCCCTCACATTCTGGATGGATTCTACAGCACTGGGGAGGACAGAGTGACTCATATTAGGAAGATGCATATCAATGCACTTTATGGCAT